TTTTTTTTTTGGGGTGGGGTGTGGCGGGTTTGGGGGGGGTTTTTTTGGGGGGGGCTTTGGGGTAGGTGTTTTTTTTTGGGGGGGGGGCCCGGGGGGTGGTTTTTTTTTTTTTTTTGGGGGGGGGGGGGGGGGGGGGGGGGGTGCATGGCATTTTGACCTCGAAACCGTCGGTGAGATCCACATCCCAAACGCGATTTTTTCTGGTCTCGTTGACTGCCTGGAGGTCGGTGATGTCAACCACAAGACATGGAAGAAGAAACGAACACACGCACATGAAATGTGCTTCTCAACCAGCACCATAGCATACGGACGCTAGTTTCATCAGCATTGCCTCTCCCCCAGGTAAAACCGGCATCTTCTCAAAAAATATCAATTGTCTAGGTACAGGTAGGGTTAGACAGTTGACTGAGGTTGACGCCCGCCCATTCCTAAAACGAGGGCTGGCATGTTGTGTTTCCTCGCCCCAAGCAGGTCGCAAGAATCACACAACACGCTCAGGGCGACAGCTGCACCGCCAGGGGATGAAAGAAAACCATTAGGAGACTTCTAGATATCGCTGCCACTCCTCCTGCTGCTGCGCCGGCCGTGCGGTGGGTTGCAACACACTTTGCGCAAAACGAACAACACCCAGTGCGTCTGACCTTTGCCGGTCTTGGCTCTGGGGTGGTGGTCCAGAGTTAGCCAATCAAACGAGTGCGGACACATAACGGCGAATTGGTACCGAACACGCTTTCTCCTCTCTATCCAAGATCTGTCCGTCCTACCCTTTCTCGGGAACGTTGTGACTTCTCGGTTGAATATTCTCCGTGTACTGGTCGCCAGCCATGCCTCTCCCGTTCACCCACGCTCTGCTAGAGACAGCCGAAGGAGGGTGGTCACACCAATTAACCCCCGTGTCCCTGGGAAATGTCCCCCGACATTCCTCCTGCGGAACCCCCTCCGTACAAATTGCTCGTTCAACCGCGTTGAGGGTTGAACCGCTCTCCGATCTCCCCTCCGACCCCATATCCACACCATCGCCGAATCGAGCAGCTATTCATATACATTATCCTGCCCCCCCCCTCCCTCCCTCCCTGGCACTCCTCGGATTCTCACCATCCAGCAGTAGCCCGACACCTGGTCCGGCGCCCGGAAGCGGAAGTGATATTGGCCCCCGTGTCCCCGGAGGGGAAACGCCTGAAGAAACTGGCCCAGGCGAACCTCGCTCACGGCGCCCATTATCTGTTTTTCCGGACGGGAGGACGAGGAAGGACGAGGAAGGGGAGGGAAGGGTATCGATTACGACAGGGAAGCACACATACAAACCACACAACACACAGACCCACAAACAAAGTTGTATGGACGAGGAGGGAAGGGCATCACTACTGCTGTACTACACGACAGGGAAGCACAAACGCAAACCACGACGAAAGAGTTTGTAACGACGAAGGAGGGGGAAGGCCATCGACTATTTACGACGGGGACGCACAAATACAAACCACCAGAGTGTTGTGTACGCGTGCATGTAGCGTTACGCACGCAACAGCGCCGTCGCTGTCAGCAGACCTGGGTTCCCCAATGCTTGCAACATAGCAGCGGTACCGATTATCTCTTGTACGGGCGGTTGTACCATGCAAAAAGGCGTAAATCAGGCTCAGTCTGGCATTCACATGCCACGTGATATATGTGACGGGCCAAAAGTCGATCGAGCGTCTTCCCTTGAATTGATTTCGATACACACCCACCATCCCAACCTGCTGGTATGGTACTCCTGATGTAGCTGCATACACAGCAGATGCAAGGCACAAAAAAATATCAGCTAAATATTACCGTATGCACATGAGCTTCATAATACACCCTCGTCGAACATGCTGACCGACTGCTGCCGTGTACAAAAGTACGGTATGGAGTATTCATAGTGCATGTGGTCGCGCCACGGATTTTCGAAAAAGGCCGCGGTATGCACATGTATAATATTACTCCGTGGCACTCTGCATTAGACTTACACGTATCGCGATCAACACATCGGTTAGTCGGCCTTTTAGGGTAAGGCCGAGACGCGGAAGTCTACCGTGTATGTCGTATGCAGCTGGTCGTATGAATACATCCTCCGATGTGTTGCCTGTATATGCATATGCAAAGAGACCTACAGTATCAGGCACAAGCAGCAGGATTCTACGTCTGTATGCATTCACGTGTCACGCACACCCAGAATTTTCCGACTTTTCTCAGCACCGCCGGAGTTCATGTGTGGAGCGAGAGACAGAGAGGTCATAGCTTGTCATGTCGGAGTCGTGTGCGGGAGACGCCTTGTACCCGTCGGGTTCAGAGAAGGCAAGTGACGGTAGAATGCGGGTTGCGGCTTCCCTTGTCTCACGGCGGGTCTAGAGTTCGAAAACGTTGCTACTGCTGACGGACAGACCGCACTGCTGCTGTGCTGGGTTACGGTCGGAAAAAACACACCAACTGTTTTGGGATGGAAAGAACGTGGAACAACGCTGCTGTTGATGTCCACTTGTGTGCCTTCGTACAAAAGTTCGGCTGCTATTAGGTACTTGAAGTATTAGGTACACAACCCGCGTACAAGCAACTATTTCATGCTCTATCCCGGATTGCACATGTTCCCCGAAGCATTACTCCTCCTCAATGCCATTTGCTCGCGAGTCACGATGGAAAGCTTGCTCTCTGTCTCTCATCCCTTCTCAAGTTCCCGGAAAAGTCCTGATGTGTATGATTGATGACAAAGGGCACTGTTGCTTGGCGGCGCAACTCCAAAGAACATATTGACAGAGAGAGGGCACACTGCGCCCCTAGCTCAGTCTCGGTAGCGACGGCCATGACAGATGAGACATGTTCCATGGTTAGGTCCAGGGAGCGCGCGAGGTAGAAACTCAATGCGCGCGCTGCCTCGTAGTCGATGCAATATTCGTTGACGACGTGGACCTACACCCAGCAGGTCGGGGAAACTATGCACCCTATCCGTCTCACATTGAAAGCGTTTGGGTTCTCCACGGAGTCTCCGTCCTCGCCCTGGAGGAAGTAGAATACCCACATGCCACCTTTGCCCGCCATATTGGTAGCAAACCGCACCGCGTTCGTCTCTCCTCCCCTCTCTTGTTCTCTCTTCTTGCTTGTCTTGCTCTCGCCAGGAGCACGACGGGGGGTCCGTGATTCAGAATATTGGGGGGGTATGTAGTGATACCATGTGTGGGTGCATGTGGCATATGGCATATGACATGTGATGGATCTTGTTGATCTTCGGCGAAGGGCTCTACCCCCGTCTTCATCTCGATTCCGCCCGACTCCTGCACCCACTTAAACAGCCGGAGGCCCCCGCTTTGGCGCACTAGTTCCTTTGCACGGCTTTGCATCATTACGAGACCACTACACGTGTAGATGCATGTTTGCAATTGCATGTTGTGATCGAATCGCTACTACTGCTGTTACTCTACAAGCCACCTTTCTTCGAGGATACGACTCTTACACAAACATCTCGCGTTGAAGATGTCCTGAGAAACCACCCTAGCTTGGCGAAGTACGCGTCAAGAAGAGGGAACAACAAGGGAACAAGAACTAACCTTTGTTTGATAAACATCCAGACCAAATTGATTATGCTGATGTGTGCCACACAGCAAAGCCTGGCTTTAGCACTGCTGCTGTAGGTCTCCATTATGTATTTGCTTTGTGCTGGTTTCTGACTGCGCCGGACTTGTCCAACCGATCGTTTGCCACGCGCGTGATTCCTGGCTAATTTCTAATGGGAAACCCTACATTCTTCATTCATAGACACAGCAATGTCGCTGCATTCGCAAGCTTGTATGGTACCCCTGGATTCCTTCATTCATTCATGTTCCGAATTTCGCACACAGGGTTGAAGATACTTGAACAAGCTTGTGTGGTAGACCTCAAGATGGTAAGATGGGCTGAAAGCACGAATTACGGGCGGCTCCATGCGACAGCTTCGTGCCTGTTGAAGACCTCATCTTCACTCGTCGGGTCTCACGTAGTGTTGCCGCGGCTACGAGCGAATGGAAAGGCTCTTGATGAAAGAGACTGCCGTCGCGAAAGGTGGGGTGTTGTGCGGAAGGGATACATTCTTCAGGTTCAGCTGCGACACGCAGGCCTGTGAGCAGGCCGACGGTTGTAGCAGCGGTACTGATCACCGAGAGAGCACACACTCTGTCTGCTTGCCGCATGGAAACAAATCGATTTGAGAGAGAGAGAAAACGGAAAACCTCCGGGGTGGGGTGGACATACTATAGTGTACCTGTGCATGCAAGCATAGCCAATAAGAAAATGGCGTCATTTCATTTGAACGTTTACTTCAAGAAACTCAAGATACTTTGAGCGCTCACTGCAAGGAACTCAAGACACCACTCTTCCACCGAAGTTCCGTCCTCATGTGGGCGACGGCCCCCCCCACGCCAATACCCCCGGGTGCCAACCTGCGTGCCTGTCAGAATTTCTACAGTCGTAGCTCCGATACAAGGGGGTGGTGCGACAAAGGTCCTCGACGCCCCTACATCGGAGCCCTCTCTTCCACCGGAATACGAGAGTAAGCAACTATAGCGGGTCGAGTCCGTGACAAACCGATTCGACCCTCTCTTTTACCGGAGCCCCCTATTAGTACAAGGTGCTCTCTTACATCGGAGCCACGACCGTTGTACCATGTTCTCTTCGCCCTTAAGCTGGCGATACCGCCTTCGGCAGGGCCTTCGACGGGTTCTCGGTGGACAGCAGCATGCACGCCTTATGCTACTACCGCTGGGTATTCCAAGGAATGTCCGTCCAGAGGGAGTTTTGGTCAGCCAATCACCAGGCCGATTGGATCGCCCTCAAGCGCCAAACGCCGCGCTAGCTATGCTGTGTCTACACCATCTTCAGCAGGTTGTCGATGAAAAGCACTGCAACGAACAAGGCCGACCCGTAAACCATGGCCTCCTTGCGCCCCTTGCGGGAGGTGTGCCATGCCGAACGCCGCCTGCTGAACTCGGCAACATAGCTGATCGTGGGAGACATCACATGAGAGATGGAACAAACGCGGTGAGGAGAGGGGGGGAGGGGTGGTGAAATGTTGGTTCAGTTACAGTCATCTTCAAAATCTTTCTCGAATCGGCGCTTCTATTCTAGCATTGCTGTTGCGCCAACTCAACGGAAGTGAAATTCGAGACATAGCGGCATGGTGGGCAAGTTGAGGCGACTGCTCCTAGCACACAAGCCGCAAACGTACGCCCCGTGGTCACTAACGGCAACAGACCGGTCGCCTAGCCAACACGGAAGGACCTTCTCACGAGCACATGAAGCACACCGCACAACAACAATAAACACAACACCAGCAGACATGGCCGTACTACTTCATCCAGCCGCGCAATGCTTTCAAGTCTACGCTATCCGCATGTAGAAGTATTATTCGCCGTCCTGCCACAAAACGCTCGCGAACGGGGAGGGCCGGGGAAGGCCACGACCGCACCTCACCACCAACACGCACACCGGACACCAGGAACGCCAAGTGTCACAGCCGACGCGAGCCTACCGCAGCGAGAGGAGACGCGCCTAAAACACAGGGCAGTGAGGTAGCCCCCCTTGCATGTACCCCAACGTGGCATGGCACCAAAAATGGGCACCAACCACGCCAAGGAAAAAAACTCAAATGAGCCAAAGCCGACATGCCCCTCCCCCCCCCTCGCCCCCTCATAGGTTAGGTTAGGGTTTAGGGATAGGGTTTTAGTGTTGCTAGGGATAGGCTCCCAAAAGGGTTCTCACTCTCTAGCTACGGAGTCCATCTCCGGGAAGTGTTGTTTCCGCGAAGGCGCAAACTGCTCCCACCCAACCCGCCACTCGTCGGGCCCGACCTGCACGCACGCACGTACATATGCGCCCACCGGGAGGAAAGGGGGTCAAGACAGGGGTGCTGCGACCAATAGGCGCGTGCGTTGCGTGCAACATGAAAGGGAGTCGGTCTCAGTTAATACCTTCCCATGGGTTAAGCACAATAGTTGGTACGTCCAAAAGCACAGCAACTCCTGACTCGTGCCGCATGTGGTGCGATGGTAAAAGAGCCTGCACGCCGCTCCCGTCATCACTAACAAAGAAAAAAAAGGAGGGCCCCACGCTCCCGGCACCCACAACTGCCACCACTGAATGTTGCACAACACAGACCTCCATGCCCGACAGCATCACTACCGCTGTGCCAGCACCGTGCTTGCCCACTCGTGTTCACGGTTGTTGGTTTTTCGGCTCCGCATGTTAGAGGAAAATGTACCGCAAGTCCGGAACAGCTGCTACTGCCGGGATGGCACACGTGCCTACCTGCTTGCGGTCCTCCGCCCACGCGAAGGAGCACCGCCTCTTCATCGGCACCTCCATCACGTCCCACAGCACGTACTTCATCGTGGCCGGCATCGCCGCGGCCGCCTTCTTGTCCAGCGCGGGCCGCGCGGCCGCCGCGTAGCAGCGCTCGGACGCCGCCGTGACGGAGAGCACCACCGCGTCCACGGCGAGATCTGCGCTCTCGGTGTCGAGGTGCCCGTCCCCGTGCGTGTCGAAGAGCGGATACACCGCAGCTGTGGGTGGTGCCGGGGTT